TTTGAGACTGGGGGGTGCATTGCTGTCAGAAGCAAATGCCCACACTAGCTTTGCCAGAATAAGGTGATAAAAAAAGGTAGATTTATATTTTATTGTAACTTTGCATCACATAACATCTTATAAATGGCCTAGGAATTAATTTGGAGACAATGCTGCATTTCCAGGAACATGGGTGGAATAACTTTTCATAAGATTGTTTTAACTGACACAGTGAGGTGGTTCAGTGTTCAAATATCCAAGCATCATTAACAATTAATACTACATTATACTGATTCATACAATGTGCAGTTTCAAATGATACACATGTGGCCCAGGCCTGTGATATATACATAATGAATAGAATAAAAAGGCCTTGGTGCAAAATGTAGAATTTTAATGGAACTTAAAACTCAAGCCAGTTATCAAGCAAATAACATTATAATCACTAGTCCTCACTTCATGTTCTGACAGCATTTCCAATTGAGATGCCCGTTTTGTAGTTAGTGACTTCTCCATTAGTTCTGAATGTGGTTTTGTTTTTGTGATTGTTGCCCAATGCAAAGACATTCATTTGAGATATAACCATGGATAGAAACAAGTAAATTTCCTGCACATTGCGAGAATTTCTATACAGAACTTTGATATCTGTGTAATGTTTCGTTAAGCCTGTGGTTGTGCATGCAATAAAATGCAATCATTTTTCACTTTTATTACAAGAACAATTTTTTGGTACATTTGACTTGTGAAACAACTGTCCGAGATTCGACCACACATTCAAACACTGTCCGTTGGGCAAACATTACCATATTCTAGGTAGCCATACGTCACCGGCCGAAATTGTAAGGGCCCATCCACACTAACGGGCACTGCCCCTCGGGTTGGCATGGTAACCTAATAATGTTCCAAACCAACGTTTAGAGGGTGGTTGGCGAGCCGCTGCCTGACGTTTACTAGAGAACTACAACGGTCACTTCCTGGGAACTGTTTGATTTTGATTACACTGCTAAACAAGTGAAATATCCACCCACCAGCCATTGCCCTTTTGCCTGGATGGGGCCTAAGCCAATGTCCACGCGGGGAATCAGCTAGCATCTAGTATGGTAAAGCATTACCATGATGTGATAAAACAATGACAAGATAAAACGCAAAACCAAGAGAATGGCACAATACAGCATTAATTCCCGGACTGGGAAAATGGAATGTTGCAGAAATGGTTGTGTAGAAAGTGAAAGGGGAAGCGTTGTAACGATTTCAGACGAACTGCAAGTTGGGTATTAATTGGATGTTACAAATTACATGCTGATGAATCCCCACTCCCCCAATCCCATGTCCGTTGTTATCAGGACGAGGGGCGGATCCAGGAGACAGGAATGAGGCCCAATATAGGGGATCACCCCTGCCTTAACCTCAGCTCTCGCCTCAGCTAATTTTCCAGGGTCTTTTATTATCTCCCTTTCCTTTCCCTTCTCTTCTTCATCCCTGTCTTCTGCCCACTTATCTTAATCGTTAACTCATTTTTACCCTTCTCGCCACAATACTTTATCATAATGCGATAAGGCTGTTGATGCCTGGCACGTTTTAACCATTAATCATATTGGAAATCCACAAACATCGCCTTATGAAGTAAATCACTTTCTTACCCGGGGCTTCAATCCCAAGCCCCACCCTATCGCTTTATTTTGAATATACTTCGAATGACCTTACATGTAGATTTTTTTTTTCATTAAATGACTAAAATGCGAATGAATCCAAACATGCTTAACGATTTATTAGAGACGGAAAAATCTTTCATAACTAAACCGGACACGTATTTGAAGAATATAATTTTGTTTACTGTTCGTGTACAAATCCGTTTTCCACATTCTACAGACAAGTGCTCTGGCATCTTTCTCCTTGACGAATGTGTAATTACCCATGTTAACTAGGAGTGTGAGGTCAATAGAATAGTAACAAGAATTTTAAAAAACTGTAGCTTCTAGAAAACTATCTGAGTGTATCGTCGTATCACAACTTCGTCCCGCCTGACTGTCTAAACTACGAACAGCCAAACACGCCATGACAAGTGCTCATTTCCGCTTCCTATCGTGTTCAGGTAACAGTGTTTCCCCGACGGCCAATACCTAAATGTGTGGACGCACCTTAGAGTAACTAATTTCTTTCCCTTTCCTCCCTCCTTTCCCCCTCTCCCTTCCACCCTACTCTTCGTCTCCCTTTGTCTAC